GGTTTAGGGGTTTGAGTTTGAGGGTTATAGGGCTTAGGAGGCCTGGTTGCAATAGGGGCAGCTAACAGTTCTTAAGGGTTAAGGCTTGGGATGTTACTAATGGGTTCAGCGTGTACTATTTCAGTTCTGGTGGCTTCGGCATGGGGAAGCGCCAAAGTCAGCGTGTAGTCTTTTGCTGATCACCTTATGAATTGAGGCGGGGGGTGGGGTTGATCTAACTTGTGGACCCCTGATGTATGAGGAGGCCTTTCGCTTAAACCCATGTCATGTCCTGTCCAGGAAGCAAAGTGGGCCTTGGATCCTCCGTCCATTGGCACCCTCTACGAGTGGGAGCCTTGTAGAAGAGCTTGCGGGGGTTGGGTTTTTGTTGTGGGCTTCAGGGTGCATCGGTTTTTTTGGGATGGCTGGTGATGTTTGTCTGTCGTGAAATGTTTGGACTCAGTGATGCTTTGATGCAGTGCTGTCGCCGCGAACTTAGTTTCAGTGTGTTTTTTGGGGGGAGGGGAGAAGTAAAGTGCTCCCCTTGTGACGCGTCAACACCTTGTCCCCTGGATGGCTACTTGGGGGCTCATATAAGACCCTTTAGTGCGTTTGGGGCACTGGCCTTTGGGTTTTCATGGCCCTTGAAGCAACAGCAGGTTGCACTAATCCTTTGCGGACAGTCAAAAGCAGGCTATGTAACCTCAACAGATTCCAGGAGACGTGGGGCTACTTGCAATCGCTGCTGGGTGACAGGCACGATCTCTGCTTTCTTCTTTTCAGGTTTCAGATCCTTGTCAAAGGATTGCGACAGTCGGGCGAGAGTGCGCACGGTATGTTTGCATTCTGGCCAGAACACCATGGGTAATTATTTGCTTCAGGTTCGGGGTGGGTGTGGATGGGTGTGTGCAAATGGTTCAGGATGGTTCGAGCCGCGCCTGACTTGCGTGCGTGGCAATAATGAATGCTGACGACAAGCGACTCCCGAATCTCTGGGTACCCGAGAGACTCGAACTAAACGTTCGTGTACTAAAACAAACAAACAAACAAACAAACAAACAAACAAACAAACAAGCAAACAAGCAAACAAGCAAACAAGCAAACAAGCAAAAACAAACAAACAAACAAGCAAAAACAAACAAGCAAACAAACAAACACAAACAAACAAACAAACAGGAACCAGCGCCAAAATTAGAGCACTCAAAAGCTGTCAGCCCGAAACTCTGCACGGTAAGCCCTAGAAGCTAGAAGCCTGTAGTGCCCTACCTTTCCCTCGACTTGTCCCTGCAGAGTGGGGCCCTCTGGGCTCACCTATAGGCGGGTGGCAAAAAACAAGCTATAAGCCCGAAACTCTGCACCCTAAGCCCTAAGCCCTAAGCCCTAAGCCCTAAGCCTTAAGCCCTAAGCCCCAAGCCCCAAGCCCCAGCCCCAAGCCCTAAGCCCCAAGCCCTATGCCCTAAGCCCTAAGCCCTAAGCCCTAAGCCCGAAGCCCGAAGCCCGAAGCCCTAAGCCCTAAGCCCTAAGCCTAAGCCCTAAGCCCTAAGCCCTAAGCCCTAAGCCCTCTACCCTCTAAGCCCTAAGCCCTGGCCAGCTGGTGGGATGCCTATGCTTTCGAGTACTGGCGCTTCCTGCGGCCGAGCGACCGGAAAGAGCCTGTGGCTTCGGCACGGGCCAAGCTGGAGGCTGGGACGAGGAGGGTTTTAAGTTGTCGGGTTTACGGCGGTTTAGTTTGGGGGTTGAGAGTTTATTGGGCTTAGAGGGTTTAGGGGTTTAGGGTTGGGGTTTGGGGTTTAGGGTTTATAGGGTTTAGGGTTGATCGGCTCCCGCCGTCCAGATGCAAAAAGGGTTTTGGGTCTAGGGTTTGGGGATGAAGCTGGCAAGGCTGTCCGGAGGCCCAGTGTTCAACAGGGTTAAGTAGCTCCAGGGCTTCTTCGGCATCTGGGCCCCAAAAGAAGGGCCCCTAAACTCCTAGATCAAATGGACCCCAAAAGACCCTAAACCCGAACACCTTCAATATTCTGCCCAAACGCCGAAGCCCTAAAACGGACCAAACCCTAAACCCTAAATGCTAAGCCCTAAGCCCTCAACCCTACAAGGCCGCGGCCACCGCTGAGCTGTGGTGGCAGGAGGAGTCGAACGTGGCAGGTGTGGCTGCGAGCCACGGCGGCCTCGTTTTGGGCTACAGGTTTAGATTTTGGGGGGGGGGAGGGATTAGGGTTTAATTAGGCTTTAGGGTGTAGGGTGTAGGGTTTAGGCTTTAGCATTTAGGGGCTTCTTGTTTGCGTAGTATTGAGGACGTGACACCACTCGTTCGCGCCGGCCTCAACCCAGCTCCATGCCTCAGCAACAAGTGCTTAGGATGTAGAGCATACATTCCCATACGGCGTTCGTCGGTAACCCTATACCCTAAAGCCTATCTTTTCAGAAATGGACTGGCTGCCATGGTGGGCTGTAAAATGCGGCTGTTTCTCCGATTGGAGTTTGCTACTACTTGCTTAAGAAACCCGGGAAAATACAAATATTATTCCTTATTAAGGGTCATATAGGGAGTATTGTTTTATTCTTTGGGGTTCTTAAGCAAACAGTAGTTTGGGTTAAGGGTTTCTAAGTGTTTACTGATCGTGTTTAGCTTGCCAGCACGCTGTTAGATGCAGGTAGCAGGGGCCTCTGGCACAACAAGGGCTTAGCAAAAGCGGCTTTTGGGGGGTTTCAGATACAAGTGTTTTAGGGTATGGACAGGATAGACCTCTTTACTTTGTAGGGGGCAGGGAAGCGGCCCCCGCCCAAAGCAGTCGGATATGCGAGTGCTCTGAGGATGCTTCGGGATCACGGCTTCTGTGTGCTCGACAATTTCCTGCCGCAGAGCCGCTTGCTGAGATGGTGGCGCCAGAATTTCGGGGATTCCTCAACCCACCAGTACTGTAGGAGCCTTAAGAATTAGAACAGGGTTTTGGGGGTCATCATGGTACTATCATGGACCATAAGGGGATGTTATTAGTAATTAGGTTTGTTCCTGAAGAGAGCCGCTACGCAGCTGAGGCATAGCCGAGGCCGTGGCGGACTCAGCTCAGCAGGCCGCTTTTTTTTCGGTGTCCACTGCAGTTGAAGGGAACATGTCGCTGACGGGAGCAACATGTGGGTGCCAGGAGAGACTTCATGAGGTAGGCAGGCCAGCATACCATCGGATGGCTAGCAGGCTCTCAGCATGCTTCAGCTACCACACACCCCCTGCCGGAACACTGCAAGTTATCATTCTCCCCTTCCAGGAAACGTACAGAAAAGAACACACTCTGCTGTTTCGCTGGATGCAAATGATATGTGCCGATATTGTCCAGCAGCTCAGCCAACCGTGTACCCCGAACTCCTGCGGCCTTACGAAACCTGCGCCCCAACACATGATGTCCATTCTTGAGACGACATAAACCCTGACATTGGGTTCGGATATGCCCCATACGACAGTAATCCCCATGGAGGTTTATGGATCGAAAACTCTTTTCGGGCCTTTGAGGGCTCATTTTAATCCCACAAGGCATACGTGAGAAGAGGTCTTGTTGTGAGCGGGAGGCCTACCGACGGAAGGAGATGGGCTCGGGTGTGCTGAGCACTGGAGAAGCTTGGCTTGGATTTATAGGGTCCAAGGGAACATTTTTGAGCATCACCCTTTGTTTTTGGAGCAGCCAAGTTCAGGGGCTTGGGGTTTAGGGCCTGAGAAATAGTAGGGATGTCAATCCCATGCCCCGGAAGTCAGGCCTTGCATGTGGTTGTAGTGTCTTTATTGGGTTTGAGGGTTTAAGGTTTAAGGTTTAGGGTTATCTTATCTCAGAGCAATTTTGGAGAGGCTTGCATAAACAAATCTAACTTGGAAGGTCTCCCTATTTTGGGCTTTCGGGTTCGACGGGTTTGGGCCTGTCAGACCGCTTCGGTTGGAGGTTCAAGAAACGGACTCTGCGCTGTCTCCAAAACAACTGGTTCTGCATTAGAGAAGCCCTAAACAGAAGTGTAAAGGGAATGCATAGTACTGTCGCCGAATAGCTGATGCTGCGTCCTTGGCTGTAAGTGGTGGGTTGTGGGTTGCCAACCTTGGCTCTTATGCCCTCTAGCACCTTAAAACGGCCCTGTGTAGGGAGGATTATGGGGACCCATCCGGGTTGGGAACTGGGCCACCCCAGTACCGCGGCCCACCCTAAACCCCAAACCCCAAGCCCTAAACCCTAAACCCTAAACCCCAAACCCCAAACCCCAAACCCTAAACCCTAAACCGCGGTGCGTGATGCCAAGCAAATGGGTCCCGCCAGAGCCGAGGGGGGCTTCGCGCGAGGCGATGCTGTCTTGTGGGCACCTAGGCTCGATCAGAGCCCTGAGCCCTGAACCCGAAACCCGAAACCCTAAACCCTAAACCCTAAACCTCACTCCTGTTTGTTCTCTTGGCTTCGGAGCCCTCCTTGCCCGAGGTCTCTCGGTTTACATGCAAAGTTCAACTGAAGCAGCAAACCTAAACAGCCCTTAAGCTTTGCCGAGAATTAGTTTGTTTACACGTACGTGTAAAAAAACTAATTCTCAGTATGTAAGGAAGTAGCACGTGCTGCGCCCTTGAAGCCACAGGTCTCTGAATTGGCGATGTTGTATTGGGCCACCCTTTGTCAGGGCCAGAACTTTGGGGGGAGGTGGTGCGCTGTGGGGTGTTTATGGGTACACACAACCCTAAAAGTTTGCGGGTGATAGACTTTATCTTGGTAGTCCAGAAGTACCCTTTACCGCCTGACCTTTGTTTTGGTTATTGGTTCTCTTGATAACCCCAAAAAAGGTGCCCTTATCATAATATGGTTACTGGGCTGCCAAGTTATAGACTGCCAGGATCCGTATAGGGGCTTTGCTCCTGATCCGCTCGCTATACATACATATGTATACATATGCCATCTGCTGCATACATATGCCATCTGCGCTCGGGCAGCATGTTGGCTGAAGCTCCTCAGCTATTCTCTTTCCATATTTTACCACAGCGGCTTCGTTGAAGATTACAAATGGCCCGTCTGGTTTTGGCATCCTTGGCAGCTGCGTTCTTGAGATGTTGCCTGGGCGACACCGTGGAGGCAGACTGCCTCCTCGATGCACGCAGAATCCTTGTTCTTCGGTCACAGTCTGTGGAAATGCCAGCAGGGGGGGGGGCACTAAGGAAGTAACTCATCAAGTATCGGTTGATACACCCTCAAGTGGTTACAGGGGCCACGAAACCACAAAATCCGAGCACGATACCAAGTCAAGAACAACCCAGGCAAGGATGGGGAGAGGCCGGGCTTGTCGTTTATCCAAGCGAAAGCCCTCGCGCGGGACAGCCCCAACGCCAAGAAGGCGCTTGAGTGAAACGTCCCCTGTTGTCTATGGGATCGACTGGGTACTTCGGCTTAGACTTCGATGTCTCAAACCCTCAGTGCACCCTAAACCCTGTAAACCGCAGGCGTGCACAAGCCAAAAAGCCTGTAAGAGTTGGAACCATGAGCGCTTAGTATGGTCCCTCACCCTTGTTTTTAGGGAGCTGAAGTACGGGCCCTTGTCATCCTATTATTCTGATTCTTCTTCTTATTGATTCAACTAAATATGTACATACATATATATATACACATATATATATATATATGTGTATACACATCGTGTATACAAGTGTTAAGGGTTCTATCACAAGGGACCCAAATTCAGGGCGCACACTTGGAAGCCTAGTAAGCCTGCTTTGAAGATCCTGAACCCTTAGCCCGGAACTTTGACCGCCCTACTCACTTGCTCGAAGGTGGATTATCTTTGGTCCTCTGGCCGGGGGAACTTCCCGAACTACGGCGTTCCCGTGCGGCAAAATCTTGGGTCAAGCTTTTCGGGTCCGGAGTCGTTTGTTCTGCAGGGTAGATTAGGTTTTGAAGCTGGCCCAGAGGAGCGCCAAGTCACATAGGGGCGGAATGGCTATAAAAGTACCTTATTCTCCCGATATGTTTATAAATATGCAACAATCACCCCTAACACCCTACTCTAATTCTCCCTATATGTTTATAAGTATGCAATAATCACCCCTTTACACCCTACTCTTAATTACTACGGTCCTAAGAGCGCAGGCTTGTGCAAAGCCCAGGTTTCCCCTGCCTCGGCACCTTTCGACCTCGCGCACAAGAAGGTGTGGAACTGGTCCCATCCCTTGGGCAGGCGGGGTTTAGGGTTTAGGGTTTAGGGTTTAGGGAGGGGTCTTGGACTTTTTGGGATCTTCGAGAATGCAGTTACGAAGTCCCGAAGTCAGAAAAGAAACCCTAAAAATGTTCAGTCTAGGTTCTTCGGTCTAGCTTTGGGGGGCATGGCAATTGTACACATTTTAGGGGGCCTGTTTCGGCGACCCTTGAGAGGTTTGCGACCTTGACCTACGGAACAGCCATCGACCACCAGCGCAACATCTACCTTTCGGGGGCCGATGGGGTGCGCAAGTTCGACCACAAGGGCAAGATGTTGTGGCACCTGGGATTTGAGTTTGTCTCAGGGGCAGTTCAGGGACGCCGCTAAATTTTCTTGCAAAGGGATTCGGTATTGTGAGCTATGACCTTCAACCCCCACATCAAGTCAGAAGACCTGGAGGCAGTTCATCATCAGTTGAACAAGAAACCGAAACGGAGTCGCACATGTCGAGACTAAATACCTTGAATACTGTTAATGCGCAGTCGCATCGGTTGATTTGTTGTTGAACTGTGTTTTTTCCGAAGTTCAGTGGCCACTGTCTCACACGTAAGTCAGACGCTAGATTCCCGTTCCTGCCCCCTCCCAAAACCTCACGAGCCGAAGCTTACACCAATCAGGGAGTATGATTCTTTGCCGGCGGAGATGATGGACGCCCCATCCCTTCATGACGGCAAGCTGTACGGAAGCGACACGCAGGGTAACGTTGTGGCCCTGGACCGGTTTGGGGCTTCCCTGAAAAACCCCGAAATTTGGCCCTTAATTATACTAACAGTCCTCAAAAGGGATTAGTCCCCCCTCCCCCCTATTAATCCCTATTAAGGACTCTTAGCATACGGGGGAACATCTTAACCCTAAACCCTTTTGTTAGTTAAGTTTGAGGCATTGAAGGGCTCTGAGATTGAAGCCAGGGCCGGCCTTTTCAAGGTGCGTTTGTACTTTACATTCTGCATCTTGGGCTACGCCCAGTCGTTTTTGAATTCTGACTGCAGGAATCCAACTTGGTTGCGAGCTCAAAGCTCGGAAACTTCCTCATGTTGCGACCAGTTGGTTTCGGGTTTAGGGTTTAGGTTTAGGGTCTAGGGTTTAGGGTTCAGGAGCCCTGAAGCAAGAAGGGTTTAGGCTTTCGGGTTAGGGCTTAGGGTCCAGCGTTCGGAACCAGCTGACAGGACATGGACTCCGGCGAGGTCGTGTGGAGAACGAAGGTCGCGAAGGAGATCGGCCAGGACAACGGCTTCCGGCCACGAATTTGAGACGGTCTCCTCAGAAGGCAGAGACCCGACAGACCAAAACCTGAAACACTAAAGTAAACTCCAGAAACTCGGAACATGGTCCAAAGATGACTAGAGCTGGGAGTCTCTTCAGGATGCCTCTTGGGGTATATAGGGGATAAGGATGTTCCAACTTTTGGAGCTCACTGTAAGCCCTCCTCCCAACCTGGGCCAAGGTTTCACTATGGCCAAGGACGGCGTGGTCCTCGCAGCCACGGACTTTCGCCTGCCCAGCCCACTGCCCACGGCTGCGGCGAACCATAAGGCGCCCTGAAACCTTGCTACACCTTGGGGACGAAATGAACCCTAAAATTGGGGGCCATATACCCTATACTACTAGAATTCCTATTGAGGTATATGGACCATAAACCCTTTTAAGGTTCATTTGGTCATCAAGGCAGACTTGCAAGCCCTACAAATGGTCACTTCTCTACATGATGGTTGTTTTTGGGATCACTATCATAAGGCGGCCCTGATTGGTTGGGGTATCCCAAAAGGGACCATGACAACTGACCAAAGACTTCAAGCAGCCTTCTGACCTTCGCCCGAAAAAAAAGGCGTGGAGCCGTACCACACCTTTGCTCAGATGTTGCGGGCGTCTGGTCCCCCAAGCCTTTGGTTGTCATGGTGTCATTATTTTGAAGAATGCCCATTGGCCATGTGAGCCCAGCCCGTTTGGACATGGGAGTGCTTCCCATCCCGACCCCGCGTGTTTAAGCCATGCAGGATTCGCTGTAAAGAATAACATGCCACCAGGAGAAGCACGAGCATTGCGTTTGCAATTGGGGAGGGGGGTGGCACAAACATGGTGGCGGCGCCCGTAAGAGGCCGTGTGAGTGAACACATTTTCTGTTTACATTTTTCGCGTCGGGGGCTAAAAACCCAAGCGAAACACACATTTTCGTCATGACCGCAGCATTTGCAGGGCTCGAAAACACTGAAGGGTTAGGTCTTTTTTTCGGAAAAATGCATTTTCGCTCGAAGCCTGATCGTTTTTTTTGTTGTTTTTTTCCAGGGGGTCTTTTTTTTGAAGTTTTGGACGCGTTTTTTGCTCGAAATTGCGCTCTCGCCTAGGCGCGGGCACGTTTTCCTCATTCCCCATGTTGAACTTTCAAATAGCGATTTTCGGTTCGGGAAGTTTTGTCTGCGTTATGGCTCCGGCAGTTCAGGGTCGAAATAGTGCTCTCGCCACAGCGCAGGCATGATTTTCTGGAATTGTGCTTTGGTTGTAACCCAACAGACTTGTGCACTGGATCCTGAAAGTGGCCTCAAGCTGATTCTTCTTCAGGGTTCAAGGTTCAAAGTTTAGGGTTCAGGTTTCAGGATTTGGGTTTGCACTGTTTGGACTATTCTTTTGGGTTTAAGGATCGTTTGTTTGTTGTGTTTTTTTCTAGGGGGTGTCGTTTTGAAGTTTGGGACACATTTTTTGCTTGAAATTGCGCTCTCGCCTAGGCGCGGGCGCGTTTTGCTTATAAACCCCGAATTAAACAGCAAGGGTTTAGGCCTTTGGGGATTAGGGATTAGGGGTTCAGGCTTTGGAGTTGCAGGTGTGAAGTCCCAAGTCACGTGATCACCCCCCCCCCCCCCCCCCCCCCCCCCACCCCGAGCCCCAGAAATTGTGGTTACTCGCACGGCCTCTTAGAGGCGCCGTCTCCACAAACATGCGCCCGGAACCGAGGGTAGGAGCGTTAAAGCTTCTCCGGCGCCACACCTCGTGAAATGAAACGAGGGCCCGCCACGCACTAAAAAGAAACGGCGCTCCGCTACGCCTAGCAAAGATCAGAACGTTCACCGTCGGAAAAATTCGGGGATTTACAAAAATAGGGGACCCCCCCAATAAGGACCAAAAAGGTACCCCAAAACCCTGCCCTAAACCCTATAAACCAAAAACCCTAAACCCTATAAACCCTAAACCCGATAAACCCTAAACCCTATCAATCCTAAAAACACTGAACCCTATTAACCCTAAACCCTCCCTCAACGCTATAAAACTTAAACCTAAACCCTACCCCTTTTTTCGGAACCCCGCCCCCCCCCCCCCCCCCCGCATTTGGGCAGGTGCAGGCTTTGAATGCCAGCAACGGGAGCCCGATGTGGAGCTTCGAGCCAGACACGCCAGTTTCTTCACATTGGAAAGCCCAACCCCAGGTCCTAAACCCTAAACCCTAAATCCTAAACCCTAAACCGGGGGAAAGTCCTAGTTAGGCCCTTGGGATATTTTTCATTTCTTCCCTTGTTGGGTTTGAGCGCATCATATGCAGGAATATTTTTCAGAGGGTTTTAAGCGCCATCCTGGAGTCCAACTTCCCCTAAACCCCAGATTCTGTAGGGTTTAGGGTTTAGGGTTTAGGGTTTAGGGTTTAGGGTTTAGGGTAACAATCCTCAACTCCTATAAGACCCTAGATAAGCCGGAAGAGGGCCCAACCGAGGTCCCTTCATGTCAACTGCAAAACGTTTAGTGTTAGGGCTACTACGACAACCCCAGGTTTACAGCTTAGGGATACTTAGGGTTTAGGTGCTGGCTAGACCGCGGACCAGTGGCAAACGGGGCTTACTTAGTCCACAAGGTTTGGAACTTCCTCCCCCTTTTCGTGGACGAAGGCGACTTTGTCTTTCAAGACATGACAGGTAAAGCGTACCGGGTGGACCTGCATACCGGATCTCTGCGCCTTGGCATTCCTCCCCACCCCCCTCCCGCAACTTTGGGACATATACCCCATACGACCATCATGCCTTCTATTGTGTGGATGACTATGGACCCACAGACCTGTTTAGGGTTCAAGAAGTCTCTCCTAAGGAGGAAACCCAACAGTTCCCCACCAAGGATCTGGAAGAACGGGGGCCTGGACGACACCTGGACCGACGGCAGCGCAGCCGTAGGGAACGGAATGGTGTTCACGGTGCACAACAATAAGAAAGAGCCGCTCACCCAGCTGATGGGCCAGTACCTTGGGGACCAGATGAAACCAAGAATTGGGGTCATGCATCTTATACCACTATAAGGCCTATGAAGGCACATGAACCATCATCCCTTTTAGGGTTCCTTTGCTGCCCTTAAGGTACGAGCCGGGTACCCTGAGCGCCTACAACCTTAGCAACGGCGAGCTGGTCTGGAAGCTGGTCACGCCCCGGCCGCCGAACAACGCCCCGGCGGTTGGGAAAGTGAAGGGCTTGGACGGAGTGTCGGTTGTCATGCCCCTTTGTCAGCAAATCATCCCGGGCTCCTTCTGCGACGTGCATGTTTATGACGCCGACACCGGTGACCTGCAGTGGGTTTTCCATGGCCCCCAGCAAACCACCCTCATGCAGGCAGGTGACTTGGAGGGGATTAGTGCCCGCACGCTCCGTGGCATTCGCTCCACGTGCCTGCCGAATGGCTGGAGTGCGCCAAGCATCGACGCACACGGTACTGTCTTCGTCGGCAACGAGCAGGGGAACCTCTTTGCACTTCGCGACATGGACGGTGACGGCACGATCTATGGCGACGATGAGATATCGAGCTATGACACCCAGGCACACACAAACGGGCAGAATAGCTGGATCACTTCCCCGTGTTCGTTTGATTTCAGAACAGTCTGGGTTGGATTTGGGGACCCTCAAACAGAAAAAAGAGCACCATGAGTTGCACGGTTAGACGGGGATTCGAGTCCCGCAATTTGTTCCAAACCAACCGCAGAAAACACAACAACAAGCAATCCAGACCCCAACGACCTTTAAACCCCAAACCCTAAACTTTGCCCCTCAAACCTAAACCTCGGCAGCCCAGTGGTACCCTTTAACTTGTTTTTTTGGTTCTAACCGACCCCAAAACAAGGGTGCCACGCTATAACAATATTATGGTTCCAGGGCTACCAGGAAACCCTGAAGCTTGGGATGTTCTCCCTTATACCAGCAGTCTTAATAGGGATAAAAACAGGGGGCTAGAGTCCCTATTAAGGACTGCCAGTACAAGGGGGAGCATCCCAACCCAAAGCCCTGAAACCCTAAGCCCCACACCCCCAAAGCCCTTAAACCCAAAGCCCTGCAACCCTCAACCCTAAACCCCCAAAGCCCTTAAACCCAGAGCCCTGAAACCCTAAACCCTAAACCCCCAAAGCCCTTGAACCCCCCCCCCCCCCCCAAACGTTCAGGCCGCCTTCTCAGGGTCTTCGTCTCCTGCCATTGCTCCGGGATTGTTGGCAGTGGCGTCCTGCGACTCACTGTTCGTCTTCAAGGCCGGGCCGTTTAGGGTTTAGGGTGTGGGGCTTTTGAAGGGTTCAGGGTGTACTATAGGGGTCGGAATAGTTTCTTCGAGTATTCCTTATGGTCCCAAGTTTACTACAATAACCCCCAAAAACCTTATGCTAAAGATTACGGCCCCTATATTATAGGGAATTTGTGTTGGGGGTTGCGGGTTCGGCTGTAGGCCTTTAGGTAGGTTTTTGGGAGGCCCAGTTTGGAAAAGGGATCTGGGCTTTAGGGCTGGGTAAGTTGTCCTCGGGCGAATAGAATGTCACGGATAGGTATAGGGGTCTTGAATGTAGCATTTCGGTGTTTAGGGTTTTTGGTTTCTCAGTTTTGGGGCTTATAAGGTTGGCCTCAATTTCTGGTAAACCACAAAACAATAAACAATATTCTTCCTCACAAGAGCAATATAAGTCATTTTTGGCAGTTCTTCAGCAAATAACAGAAAAACACCTACATGCACAGAAGCCGCTGGAAACCAAGCAGAGGATTGATGGTGGTGTGAGGAACGACATCGCTTCGCCTTGCTCAAGGCTTCAAGCTCCACGGGCGAGAGAAGTGTTTTGGAGACAGACTGGGGTTTCGGGTTTACGGGATTGAGGGGGGCTGTATGTTCCAGGGTGCTCTGCAGCTTCTTCAGTGCTGCATAGAGAACCGGCGAGAGCCAAGCAGCCAGATGTTTAAAGGCAGTTTGAGAGAAGTGGCGGCCAACGACTTGCTGCAACGTGGACCAAAATGCGTGCCCTGAGGATTGGTGCTGCGCGCATGTTTGTGCTGCATATGTGTACATGCTGACAGTTCTTGTGCATATCTATCTGCTCCACATGTCTGGGTTGGGATGTTCCCCCTTAATTATACTAACAACCCTGAATAGGGATTATAGTACCCCTATTTTTACCCCTTTCGAGGACTGTTTGTATAGCTACTATTTGCTTAAGAACCCCCAAAGAATAAAAAACAATAATCCGCGTATTGCCCTTATAATGAAGCATATTTTTCATTTTTTGGGGGTTCTTAAACAACTAGTAGAACATCCCCATGTCTGGGCTTGATGCGCGAAACCCAAGTAGCATCGGTGCCTCCATCTCGAACTCGAGAATTTCACACCCCAAACCCAAACTAAACCCTAAACCCCAAACCCCAAACCTTGAACCCTGAACCCTGAACCCTGAACCCTAAACGATAAACCCTAAACCTAACTATATCCTCAGCCTTTGGTGTCCCCATGGGTTTGTGAAGTTAGGGTTTCGGCGCTGCACCCGCTAAGGTCAACACCCACGACCCGGCGACGGGGGGCAACCCGAACATGGCTCCCAAGGACCTTTTGGTTTAGGGTTCAGGGTTCAGGGTTCAGGGTTCAGGGTTCAGGGTTTAGGGTTTAGGGTTTAGGGTTTAGGGTTTAGGGTTTAGGGTTTAGGGTTTAGGGTTTAGGGTTTAGGCAGCGCTGGCAGTCATCAAGTCCGGTTTCTGAAGGTTTAGAGGGTTCAGGGTTTAGAGGGTTCAGGGTTTAGGGTCCAGGGTTTGGGGTTTGGCGGGTTGAAAAAACAGAGGGTTTGGCGCACAAATGGGTTCAGGGCAAAACAGATCTTGGTAGCCCAGTGGTACCCTTTTGCACCTTTTGTTGTTCCAGGTTCCCTAAACGAGTAACCAACTCCAAAAGGGGTACCCTTGTGATGACATGCTTTCTGGGCTACCAGAGATTGGTTCAGGGTTCAGAATAGGTTTTTTGGGTTTAGGCGGTTTGACATGCGTAGTGCCCAGCGTTTCCGACGCCACTGACGACCAGGCGACAAGCACAAGACCCAAAGCAGAAATGGGGGTTTCAGTCGTAAAAAGCCAGCAAACACCATCAACAAATCATATCATATATTGATAATATCATAATTAGAAGTTCAAATGTCTCTAAACCCTAAACCCTAAACCCTAAACCCTAAACCCTAAACCCTAAACAGCTCTGAACCTGGTGTCCAAAGGATCCCCCAAGCCCGAAGCTTCCAGCGACTCTAGCCGCTCCCGGCCAAAGCCCAGCGAGCCCACTGCATGGATTTGGGCATCCTTATCTACTACTTGCTCAAGAAGCCGGCAAAAAAAATGGAAGATAATAATCCCAATGTTACCCTTCTAAGGAAGAATTTATATATATATATATACACATATATATAATTTTTTTGGGGGAGGTTCTTAAGCAATGAGTAGTTCTAACTCCATACGAGTACTGCACGTCTAAGTGCTCCGAACGCGAAAGGAGGGCCAAGCCTCCTCCGCGGTCAAAGAGCTGGCTCCAGTGGCTTGGTTGTACATAGAACAGGGAAGGGCAGAGCCTTCATCCAGTGCTCGGCTAGACCCAAGGAGGTTGGTTTTGCAACCCTGTAAACCCTACGGTGTCTCTCGCGGGCCCCTCCAACCTTAAACTCCAAACTATGGGCATGCTCCCTAAACCCTCAACCCTAAACCCTGTTCTTCGGAAATCGACCTTTCGCATCATTGTCGGTAAGTGCCCTGCACTGTGTCGAGAGAGTCAGCTAGGCAAGTACCGGTGACAAAGTACCTGTACCCTAAACCCTGCTGTGCGCGAGCGTGAGCATCGAAGCACCCGCTTCCTTCAGAAGCCCAACAAACAACCGACTTTTCGGAGGTTACTTTCATAAAGCCTCAGTGGTGTTTTTGGTTTGGGGGTTCGCATTTCGGGTTCAGGGCTCCTCGTCGCAACTGTGAGCATCATTGGAACCTTATATCTGACTGCTTCAAGTTATAACCCTATTCATTGTGTTGTACTCTGTTTATCAATATCACATTGTAATTAGCATCGTTTGTCATCAAACTTTTTGCGTCATAAAACATACGTATTGTTATTGGTTACGAGCACGAAAAAATCTGCGATTTTGGCTTTGAGGCCCTTGCTTTCAACTCGGAGTTTAACTCTTATAAGGCTTGGAGAAGAAGTTCGCCTCTTCGCTGCATCTGTGGCAAGGTCCTCGAGTACATCGACACTTTGGTCGGCGATGTCTTGTCGCCGCAGCTGCTTGACGGGTGAGCTGCGTCCGAAGACTAAACCTGCACGCCTGAAAGACCAAACAAATGGCCAGTGGCCCCACACTAATGGAAGCCATCACGATGTGTACATTTGTAGGCTTTATAGCTCTTACCCTGGTCTTAACCCAAAAAGACTACGTCCCCACACGTCCAAACCCCAAAGCATAATGTGATATCTCAACACAGAAGCAGCCAACGCGAGCGGCCCATACCTTGGAGCATGGCTCGCATGTTAGCCCAGAGGTACCCGTTTGCCCTTTTTTGGGGTTCACGGTTCCCCTTATAAAGTGGCCACCCCAACAAGGGTACCCTTAATAGAATATGGTATGAATATAGTTACTTGGGCCGCCAAGTATTGTTGCTCTTACCATGTTCATGCACGGTTATTCGTCTGAATGAATACTCTTTGCCATGAGTAGTATTACTTTGAAGTTAAACCCGCAACCCTCGGCTTGCTGATCCTCGTTCGCTGTGCAACGGCCAGAAACCCCGCTTTTCTTTGTGAAGTAATTTCACAATTAAGTAGAAATTAGCAAGAATGGTAAGCATAGTCATACTCGTAGTCGTTTATAGTTAACGATCATATGGGCTTTGCGCAGGGCCTTGTTTCCATGAACCCGAGCGGTTCACAGCACTCAGCACACGCCCCCGACCATGCCCCACACCCCCTGCGCCTCTGCCCCACGCGCGAGGTTTCCCGACCGCATGCAGTGCATTCGAACTCGCAGCTGGGCAAGAGTGGCTGATGTAACGTCCGTGGCCTCCCAGCCTCACGTGTACCTAAACCCTAAACCCTAAACCCTAAACCCTAAACCCTAAACCCTAAACCCTAAACCCTAAACCCTAAACCGGTCAGGGTTAGGGCTCTGGGTTCAGGCCGGGCAGCAGGGCTGCATACATGATCATACATGTCCCACGCAGTCCGAGGCAGCCACGCGATGTTCACCTGCTACCCCGAGACAGAGACAGGGCTTGTGGATGCCGACGGGGAGGCCAGGAAAATCCCAAACCCTAAATCATCCTAAATCTAAATTGCCTTGCTGCAAACCCTCAAACCCTAATAAAAACTGGAGCCCTCAAACCCTAATCAAGCCCTGCAAAGTGGAAGTTCAGCTAGGAGACAAAAATAGGAGCCAAAAGCCGATGCCAGCCTTTGAGCTCCAGGGCCAAGAGCCCTTAATTTGCTTAAGAACCCCAAAGTACAAAAGATGGTCATCCCTATGTTGCCCTTGTATATGGACTCGTATATATATATATATATATATGAAGCTAATATAGTATATGTATATATATGTATATATATATATATATATATATTTGTGGGGGGGGGGGTTGCTTCAGCAACTCGTAGGTAAGGGACGTGTTACTGCAAACCTACAAACATGCTCGGGCTTGGGGCTTTCTAAGGTGAGGGCCCCAAAGGTAGACTCTCCAAGCCCAAAAGGATGAGGGTTTAGGGTTTAGGGTTTAGGGTTTAGGGTCCTTTCGGAGCCAGACCTGCCTTTTTAGAACGAGCTAAGCTGACTGCTGCTCGAGAGGTGCTAGCGCCCAAAGCAAACCCAAGAGGTTGTTTGCTTACCTTTTTGTTGGGAAAATGCTTGCTTTTTTTGGAGAAGATGCTGGCCTTTTTTGGGAAGAGGCGGGAAGGGGGAGGGGGGGGGGGGGGGGGGGGGGGGGGGGGTGGTTCCTCACCCTCTTTGCTTGCGGGGATTGTAAGTCGAGGGCTCCAAGCCGTTTAGGGCTTACAAGAGCAACGCGTAAACCACAAGAACAGCCTCTAAACCCTATAAACCTTATAAACCCTAAAAACCCTGTAAACCCAAACCCGTAAACCCGGTAAACCCGGTAACCCCTATATCATAAGCCCAAACTGCACGAAAGCTTGGCGCAGTCGTGGCTCGGCCCTGTGGCCGACGAAGGAGGGGCACGTGGCTCACGAGGCTGCTTGGTCCAAATGGGTGAGGGATCCTCGGACTCAGGGTGTAGGGTTTAGGCTTTATAGGGTTTAGGCTTTAGGATTTAGGGTCTGGGGTCCCTAAATCCCTAACCCTAAACCCCTTCTTCATGACACTCCATGACGGCTCATGTGGCGATTTGATGTGTTTGTTTGAATGTTCGGGGGGTGGGGGGGGGTTGTTGGGGCCCGTTTTGGGTGTGAGGGCCTCGGAGTCCGGAGACTGGGAGGCACTCCCTCTGCAAAGGCGAGATGGGAATTTTACCCAACAGGGGGCACCCCGAAAAATTACCCGCCCCAAAAAACCACCACCACCATCCGCAGCAGGGGAAAGCCCCCCCCCAAAAAAAAAGGTACGACTGTTTTCGGACCATCCCGCATGTGAACTCGAAGCCCTCTCAAGCTTTCTGAACTCTAAACCCTAAACCCTAACATATATATACCCTAAACCTCAACCCTCTCAAGCTGTGGCTTCTCCTTGGCACCTTGCGGGTTCAACGATACCCG